GCCGGAATCGCCGGATCAACGATTCGCCAAACGGTGGGCACCGCTAACACTGCCATCAATTCTGGTCGTAATGTTATTCAACATCTTATGACAAGTTTTGGACAATAATTGATTCAAATGTTTATGCATTTAATGTTTTTCTATTATCTCTTTAAAGTTTTACCCATTTTTACAAAATATCAATTCTTTTTAAATAAAATCATTTCATATTTAAACGTGACTTTAATTCTTGTAATAATTCCTGTGATTTATTCATTGCATTTGCAAATCATTTGAAAGAATTGCTTTCAAATAAATGTCAAATTATTGTAATGTCTATTAAATGTAGATTAAAATGAAAACTTAATTGACTATTCAGTACAATTGTGATGTGTCTTATTTTGAACCTCAATTTGAGCCATTCATTGGAGCAGTTTTTAGGTTTAAAATTAGTTAATCATAAAATGAGTCATTTATTTACAATGTTTGTTAGTAAATATGGTTTAGATATGAATCATATAAATTGGCTCAAAGTTTAGCCCTAATGTTTAGAGAAGCTCTAAATGTTTTCTTACATTTAAGACCATTTAAGACATTTCTTTAGACCTACACACGCAAAATGTGACCATGCACATCTCTGTGCACATCTCTATTTATAAATTATAGAGAACATAATTTAGTAACATAATATTAATTTAAATATTAACGCTTTCAATGTATTTGGATAATTTATCATTAATTTTAATTTACAACAAGTTACAAAAACTTATCAAATATATTAACCTTTTTTCTTAAATTTTAATTCTATTGTAACTATACTTTGTTTTAATAATCAAATAAAAATTATATTTTTGTGTATAGTTTGCGAAATAAATGAAGTTTTTATTTATTTAAAAACTATAATTATTGTAAAACTATAATAATTTGTAAAGCTTAATAAACTTTATATTGAACATTGTTTGGTGATTTGACAGTTGGTCACCCTATGTGTCCATACAGTGAATGCAATGTATTGTACGAATGGGTCGACAGATGTCTCTCTTGGGATCAAATGAATGCCAAAATGGATGACAAATAAGTGCGAGAAATGAGTTGACAATGAATTGATCCAAACATTATCTCCAGAAGTGTTGCCATTAATGCAA